GAGAGAGAGAGAGAGAGAGAGAGAGAGAGCGAGAGAGAGAGAGAGAATGGTGGCGGGCGGGGGTTGAATTGCGAAAGGAAAAGGCGACATCTTCATGGCGAAGAAAAGTAGGAAGGGAAACTGACCTTTAGAGGAAGCTTTGAATGAAGTTTTTTTTTTTGCCCCTTTCCCTTTTTTGTGCTTTTGTTCTGGAAAATTTAAAATAGATGAGGAAATAAAGACCCGACTTTTGAATCCATAAACAAAGTTTTGAGAAAGACGGGTGCTGCTCATTCACAAAGTCGATCAAAGTCGCACTTAGGGAGAGCTTTATGTGTCATATTTCCACTCCCCAATCACACAAATTGGATCAAGCCCCCCCCTTCCTTAATCGCTTATAATTAATACCCTAAACTCTACAAATAATAATCACCAAATCCTAATCCACTGCGCGAAGAAACTTCATCCACACTCAAAATTACCCCTCCATCTCCTCCATAAAAGAAGTAAATTATTAAAGTAAAACAATGGCGTCCCGTCGCCCACCATTGCGTTATTAAATTGAAGGGGAGAAACAAAAGTGTGATTCACTGTCCACTTTTGAAGAAGCCAGGGGAAGAGGAGGGACTGGTCAGCAGTGGGAATGGAGTTGGGCACGTGCTGCCCGTGATGCCATAGTGTAGTAGTGTATGTTGGGACAAGGCCTAGGCTAAGTAATTAGTGATTCACCAAAGCTGCATGCAAATATATATATATATATATATATATATATAGATAGATATGAGCATAGGTAAGATAGATAAGAAGTTGAGAGCGTGGAAGAGACGGCATGAGGGGATTGCCTCCTGGGTTTCGGTTTGAGCCGACGGAAGAAGAGCTGGTGTTTGAGTATCTAAAGTGCAAGGTATTCTCCTTTGCCTTGCCTGCTTCTATCATTCCAGAGATCACCACTAGTGTTTGCAACTTGGATCCTTGGGATATTCCAGGTAACTGATTCTGCTTTAAGTTTTCAAGTAACGTGGGTTTGGTTTGGTCTGAATTTAGGTTGCTTTCACTTTGTGTTAGGAGGCGGGGGGGATTGGCAGGAAGATACATACCTGTTCAGCAAGAACCAGGAGTGTGATCGAAGAGTTAGATGGAGTCCGAGTGGGTACTGGAAGGCCAAGGGGTCGGAGAGGAAGATAGTGAGTTCGAGTAGTGACGCAGTGGGACTGGTGGGGATGAGGAAGACTCTGGTTTTCTGGATGGGGAGCAGCAGTAGTAGGAAGACGGGGTGGGTGATGCATGAATACCGCCTGCTTTTGAGCCCTACACAACCGCCTACGCCTCCCAGTGTAGTAATTAATAACATGGAGAAGTGGGTTGTGTGCCGCATCTTCTGCAACAACTCGGGGATCAAGAATGACCTCCATTTCCATCCCCTCCAATGTCCTGTTTCTGCTTCTACAAACGACGACACCAACGCCCTCTCCGACGATTCTGCTTCCTCCACCGCCTCATCCTCTTCCTTTTCCGCCACTACTACAATGCCCTTTCCCAACCACCATTCTTCTGCCTCTAATTAATTCCTCCTACTCATATATTATTATTCTCTTCTCTGCCTCTAATTATATGTATCGCTTTCATCCTTTCCTTCTAACCCACCCTTGAATTTGAATGAATTTAGCATAATTTAAATTTGAATTTGGAAGTAATTGAAAGTAAAAATTGATACAACTAACTGCTCGAGTTCAAACATAAAAATCTAAATTTGTAATTGCCTCGTTTATCCATTGATTTGAATAAAAGATTCAACACCAAACTAAATTTGTAAGTGAAACATGAATATGGTTAAAAGTGGAGTGGACAGTTGGGAATATTGTGTGGCTGTCTATTCTTGGGAGGGACAACAACAGGTGACAACAGCAGGTGGCAACAACAGGTGGCAACAACAGGTCACAACAACAGGTGACAACAACAGGTCAAAACAGGTCACAGGAGAAAGGAGGATAACTCAGCCTCGGAGTTGACGCTGGGTTTACTATTCTTAGTGTATCTAATTTCTACAACAGACTGTCACAATGCCACCTCTTATTCAATTCTCTCTTTAAAATTCTCTCCTCTCTTCATAATTTTTACCACCGCCTCTCTCAACTAAATTCTGCCTTTCATCCTTTCCTTTCCTCACCTCTCCCTCTCTGTGCACTGCAAGCTTAATCCGGCTTTAATGGGGTGTGGAAACTCCAAGCTTACTCCGGAAGGAGAGTCGATTCTCCCCATGATTCGCCCACTTCTTTTCCGCACTAAATTTGCGGAGTTCAGGAAACGTAAGAATGGAACGCATCTTAGAGAGACAGCGCTGTCAAAGAAAGTGCTTCTCAAAGAGGGAGAAATAGAAGAAGAGAACTCCATACTTCCTGTTCATAACAGGAACAGCATCTATGGCTCCCATGACGGCAAAACAATTTGTTTACACACCAAACAGGAGAATCATATGGATGAACATGATTCACCCAATGCAAACCATCTCTTGGAACAACACAAACCCAATGACAATGGCACTCGGGTTGAATTGAAAGAAAATAAAACCATGAACAACCAACGTACGGCAGTGGAAGAAGGAGATGATGAAAACAAGGAAGAAGGAGAAGAGGGTAGGCCTGACAACGAAGACAATCGATGCCTCATCTGTCCTGGATCACCCAGTTTCAGAGTTTATTTTGTTGAACAAACACCAAATGACAAACAAAATGGTAAGTAGGCTCAAAACAAAACTTTCAACCAAAACAACCAAATCATTATGTGTATATCATGACCAACACAGTAGCAACATGTTGTACAGTTGAAATGAATGATGATGGAGACATGGAAGATGCCTCACTGAAGAAGTCGCCAAGTCGTGACAGCGTTGAGAGCAGCAGTAGTACAAAATCTAACGAGGTGGGTCCACAGGATCATGTTTAGAAGATTTGGGATTTTTGTTATGTTGCTCTTATGAATCTTACACATACAGGGCCAGGAGAACAAGACGATAAAGAAAGGAAAAAAAGGGACGACTTTGAACAGAGCGGGGAGTAGAGAAAGACCAGTTGGAGTTGGTTTAAAGAGTCTGTTGAACGTTAATAATTGTTGCTATCATTTAAGTTGTACCGGCAATGACAGAGTCAATCATCTAGCTAGAAAAGCTGAATGTTAAGAGTATCCATTTCAAGGGGTTGGGGAAGGGAGGCTTCCTGCTCATTTTTTAGGCCATTAGTCCCTCAAATGTTCCGTCTCCCCAATGTCAGTAATCAAACCCACCATACGTAGCTACAATTTTTACTTACGATCTTGTAATAGCAATTCATTCCCCTTCTAATGTTATTCGACAACCCATACTTCTTTCTTTATTAACAACAAAATAACAAAACACTGTCACACATCCAATATATATTAAGCATTCTTCATTGCATCACAAAATATCATTGCACAATTCCCCACCAACAACTACATACGAGAGGAAGTCCTCCCAAAATCAAAACTAAACCTTACTTGGATTGATGAGTGAAAGCAGATGAGAGGAAGTCCTCGTCCTCCTTGAACACTTCCAGATTCTTGGATCTCATAATGTAATTAACAGCTCCATCATCAAAATTCAACACAAACGCCAACTTGATGAGCTCGGATAATGAACATACATAATCACTATACTCCCAAAGGACACCTGCAGATATAACCTCAGAAAAGTATGTGGCATACTCTATCATCTCCTTACGTTCTCCTGACATTACCATCTTCTGGGTGAACAGCTTCGAACTCTCCCGCTCCCAACGTATCAATTGGGTTGCATTAGCGTTGATGACCTCCCCTGAAGTTAGGGATAAACTATACTGCATCATCACAGGTTGTTCCGTCTCAAGAACAGAAAGATTGAGGAGACATCCAACAATTTCATGCCTCTTCACTGCATCAATTTGCTTGGCAGGATCTGCTAAGAAACCAAGAATGAGCCGCATCAGTTCTTTTCCAATTGGAATGTCATTTGGATTGGCGTGCTTGAGGTTGGTTCCATCAACAATGGCTGCCTCCACCCTCTGAACAGACTCAGAGATCTTCCGGACCCCGATGTTCTTATAAACTTCCAACAAACTAGTACGAGGCAAGGAAATGGAGCTTGACTGGGGATACCAAACAAAAACGGGAAGAGGAGACATACGTTCAAATAAATCCTTCAATTGTAGATCATCTGCAATAAAAATGTCACGTTTATCAAACAAAAAAACTCCATCTGATCCAGAAATTGCAGGCACCTTGAG